GGGGGGGAGACTTCAACTCTGGGCTTGGGAGCTGTCCCTGTGCTCTTCAGCTCAAGGCAAGCACTCTACCGCTTGAGCCACAGTGCCCATGTCCTGTTTTCTAGTGGTTTATTGGAGATAAGAGTCTTACGGACTTTCCTGCCTGGGCTGGCTTTGAACTATGACCCTCAGATCTCAGCCTCCTGAGTAGCTAGGATTATAGGCGTGAGCCACCAGTGCCCGACCTTTAACTCCACCTCTGCTGGCATTCTTCACTTCTCTCCTTCATCCTTCCCTTTCCTATAGACCTGCTGGAGATTTGATTCACTCTACCCTGTACCCATCTCTGCCTTTTCCTGCTTCATAAAGTCTAGCCACACTGGAGTTTTGCCATTGAACCCAAGAGCTACCTTGTTGGAGCCCTGTAGTTGTGTGGACTATACCCTACTCGCTTTGTATCTTCCTGACCATTTCATTAGACTCAAATACATTTTAAGAGTCTCCTACCCAATACCAGCAGGAAAGTTGCAATGTATTTTGCATGCTTCAGTACTTATGGGTTACCTTGGCCCCAGAGGCACAGGCTGAGAGGAAGGACAATAGCCATCCAGTCCACGTGGACAACTGCATCTTGAATGCTGAGACCCTCGTGTGCATCAAGGAGCCCCCTGCCTATACCTTCCGGGACTACAGGTGAATGAAGTGACAGATGTAGCTCAAAGGAGGCCTGTGCTTGCCCTACCCTGCCTCCCCATCCTCAGTACACATGTGCCCATGCAAAGGCTAGACTAGCCCTCGCTAAAGTCTAGTCCCTTTCCTCAGCCCCCAGGTAGAGGGAGGAGTATGAAGGTGTGCGTGGGCTTGGCACTGGGGGCACCCAGAGGAGCATGATCGAGTCTCTGGAGAGAGTCAGGGAGAGCCTACAGGCCATGTTTGCAGCTTAGAAAAATGCCATGTCTCGCTGTCTCTGCTTTTCCTAGTGCCATCCTTTACCTGAATGGAGATTTTGATGGAGGAAACTTCTACTTCACTGAACTAGATGCCAAAACTGTGACGGTGAGCATTCTCTGCTGCTCATTCCTTGGGGACAGAAAACTGCTTACTGGAGCTGATGTCTTGATAGTGCTGTACACAGAATGACCCACTGGGCATTCCCTGTGGCCAGTGCTCTGCCCCTAAGCAGGGGCTTTAGATGCTACAGCAGTGGCCTCTGAACAGCCAGGTGAACCTGCCCTCAGTCCCGGCTCTTAGGGATCCCATGGATCTCTGGAGTCTTTCTTCTATGGACCCCTGCTTTCTTTCCACTTTAGGCAGAGGTGCAGCCCCAGTGTGGAAGGGCCGTGGGATTCTCTTCAGGCACTGAAAACCCACACGGAGTGAAGGCTGTCACGAGGGGGCAGCGCTGTGCCATTGCCCTGTGGTTCACACTGGATCCTAGACACAGCGAGCGGGTAAGATGTTTGCCTCTGGGATCCGTTTCTGGAAGGTCCTGGTTCACTTCCTCTGTCCCCCGAACCGACTGTCAGCAGCAAAGTCATGAAAGGCACCCTGGGCTATGGAACCCAGCTCTGGCATTGTTACTGGCATGGCAGGCATAGGACGTTGCTCACACCGCCTTGTCCTGCTGGACCTTCTTCCTTGCCTGTAAACAGGATGGAGTGGGAGTCAAGCTGAGAGCAGTGCTGAGCCCTTGGGTCTCCTTGGGCCCCTCCTCATCTGTTTTCATTGGCCTAGGGCCCACTGGGAAGGAAATGGGCTTGAAGCCCTCCCTGGTGGCATCTTCATCGTTCTCTCAGGAAGCAGCAGCTGAGAGAGGGCGAGGCATCTGTTCCAGGCCTCTCTGAGAAAGCACTGTTTACCCTTGCAGGACAGAGTGCAGGCAGACGACCTGGTGAAGATGCTATTCAGCCCAGAAGAGATGGACCTTCCTCAGGAACAGCCCCTCCCCCAGCCTAGTGAAGAGTCTCTCTCAGGCAAAGAATCAAGAGCCAAAGATGAACTATGATAAGCATCCAGGTCACATGTGGATGAGATTAGACCCATGAGGAGGAGCTCTGTCTTATACTCTGGACTGGCCAGCCTCTAAGGGCTGTGGATCCAAGGGGACCCTGCCCAGCCTTTTGAATGGTGCTACTGCTGCTCTTGAGTGGACATGGCAGGACACTGCTCTTCTTTGGGTTTGACTGAAAGCTCAGGACCCAGGCCCAGAGCCACCCTGGGGCCTACACAGCAGCTGCAAGACAGCAGCCCAGTATTTAAGTGTCTATGTAGACAACCAAAGAATAAATGATTTGTGGGTTTCCTCTGGTGTGTTCAGAGAGTGGAAATGTGTCCATTTGAGCCCAGAGGCCCTGCTTGGCAAAAATGACTCTGGGCAGGATGCAGTAGCCAGAGAAGCTAGAGAAGGCCTGCTTCAGTACCCAATGGGGCCACATCCTGAGCAGCCTCAGGCCAAACACTGAACCCAGGTACCTTGCGGTTGTCTTCTATATGGAGGATCATAGTCTTCACCATGCCTATCCTCTGGACAGCTGTGTGGCACAGATGGAGTATCAGGTGTAAACCATAAAGCTCTGGGTGAATGGCTATTATTCTTAATCTTCTTTTGGCAAGAGTGGCCATCAGCAGTGCTCTGGCACATTGCCCCTTTGGTAGCCACATGCTTCCTGCTCTGTCTGCTGTCCTCAGCTGTACCTCAGGGCCTCTGTGTCCATAACGATCCCTATAAGAGACAGAGATCATGGAGCTAGAGTTCAGCTCCCCTGGCCACATCCCTGGCACCAAGCCCAACACCTTCACTGTGCTTGAGATGTCACAGGGCACACAGTATAGGAACCAGAATGCAAGTAATTATTTAGCCAACCAATATTTATTTATTCAGCACCTAAATGTCTGGTGCTGAGAACAGACAAGGGAACAAAACAATCCCCCATCCTCATACACGTATTTTATACACAGGTTTTGTGTGTGTGTATGTGTATGTGTGTGTGTGTGTGTGCATGTATGTATGTATATAATCCTATGAGATAGAAAATGAAGCGAATTAGGACCCCAAAAGGAAGGACAGGGGCTGGGAAGGTAGCTTAGTGGTAGAGTGCTTGCCTTGCATGCACGAGGCCCTGGGTTCGATTCCTCAGCACCACATAAACAGAAAAAGCTGGAAGTGGCACTGTGGCTCAAGTGGTAGAGTGTTAGCATTGAACTGAAAAGCTGAGGGACAGTGCCCAGGCCAAGTTCAGGCCCCATGACTGACAAAAAAAAAAGGACAAGGAGGCTGAATAGTAGCAGAATGAGCCCAGTGGAGAGTTGTTGAATAATCAGGGGCCTTAGCAGCCTCTGTAAAGACTTGGGAGCCCCAACAGGGTTCTAAGCATCTGACTTACAGTATGCGAAGAGTATGCCATAGGAGTAGGAATGGAGAGAAGGAGGTCCAGGAAAAGCTGGTCTGTGATTAAGGCCAGGAGAAGATGGCCTGGGCCAGGGTAAAGGAAGTAAAGATTAGGCTCTGGGTACGTTCTAGAATAGAGCCAATAAGAGATTCAGATGGATCTGTGTGCCAGTGGTTCATGTCTGAAATCCTAACTACTCAGGAGGCTGAGATTTGAGAACTGCAGTTCAAAGACAGCTTGAACAGGAAAGTTGATGAGATTCTTGTCTCTTTTTGTTTGTTTGTTTGTTTGTTTTTTTGGTCTGTCGTGGGGCTTGAACTCTGGGCCTGGGCGCTGTCCCTCAGCTCTTCAGCTCAAGGCAAGTGCTCTACCACTTGAGCTACAGCGCCACTTCCAATTTCCTGGTGGTTTATTGGAGATAGGAGTCTCATGGTCTCTCCTGCCAGGGCTGGCTTTGAACCGCGATCCTCAGATCTCAGCCTCCTGAGTAGCTAGGATTACAGGTGTGAGCCACCAGCGCCCGGCGAGATTCTTGTCTCTTAATCACCATAAAGCCAGAAGTAGAGGTGTGGCTCCAAGTGGTAAAGTACCAGCCTTGAGCAAAAAAACTCTGGGACAGTACCCAGGCTGAGTTCAAACACTCATACCAGCGCACACACACACACACACACACACTACCCAGGCTGAGTTCAAACACTCATACCAGCACACACACACACACACACACACACACACACACTACCCAGGCTGAGTTCAAACACTCATACCAGCACACACACACACACACACACACTACCCAGGCTGAGTTCAAACACTCATACCAGCACACACACACACACACACACAGAGCTTCTGATGGTCTGGAATGAAGAGTAAGCAAAAGCATCCAGAAGGAGCTAAGCCAATTTACCTCTTCCTCCCCAGCCAGCAGAAGGAAAGATTGGTTTAGGTATGCTGAGGATGAGTTTGAGAAGCATATCAATGGTGCTCAAGCCAGAAGAAAGAAGTAGAAAGAGAAATTAGAAGATAGCCTATCTGGAGATAAGTGAGTCTGAAGGATGGTGGGGCTCACTGAGAGGTAGAACCTAAGGAGAGATGGGTCCTGACACCCCATGAGGGCACTTCAAGGAGGGAATGGGAAGCAGGGTTCAATGCTGCTCAGAAGCTAAGTATGGTGAATATGGAGGATTCACCTTTGGATTTGGTAGCAGGAAAGGTAGAAGGAGCTTCGGCAAAAGGTGCCTTGGTGAAGTGGTGTGGACTAAAGATAGACTAGGGGCTGGAAGGTGGCTCAGTGGTAGAGTGCTTGCCTTGCATGCCTGAGGCCCTGGTTCAATTCCTCAGCACCGTATAAGCAGAAAAAGCCAGAAGTGGCGCTGTGGCTCAAGTGGTAGAGTGCTAGCCTTGAGCTGAAAAGCTAAGGGACAGTGCCCAGGCCCCGAGTTCAGGCCCCATGACCAACAACAACAAAAAATACATTATATATATATATATATATATATATATATGTTATATATGTGTATGTATATATGTGTTTATATATATATAGTGTGTGTATGTGTGTGTGCACGTGGATGGGGCACACATGTTTATTCATGTTAGTACTAGGGCTTGAAGGCTTGAACCTGGCTTAGGCACTGTCCCTGAACTTTTTTTGCTCAAAGCAGGCACTCTATCACTTGAGCTACAGCTCCACTTCAAGCTTTTTGCTGGTTTATTGGGGATAAGAATCTCACAGATTTTCCTGCCCAGTACCTCAGATGTGTCTCCTGAGTAACTAGGATTACAGATGTGAGCCATTGGAGCCCAGCCAAGAAACTATTATTTTTCAGGCTGGAGATAGTATGGTGTTAATGTGTCCATGAAAACAATCCAGGCCAGATGGTCACTGTTTCATCATCATTGTTGGTCCCCTTTATCCTACCTGCATGACTCACCCACTGTGCAGAGGGCTGTAGGAAGCAGAAGAGAAGGTTCATAAACTACCTGTGCACTGAACTGGTTGATATCTTTCCCTACTTGGCAGTGTGTGCTTCGTCACCAGGACCCTGGGATTCCCTGATGACTGAGCCCAAAATGGTCAAAGGTACGGATAAGAGAATGTTCACATAGCACCTGGCTCAATAGTAGAGACTCAACATTACAGAAATTAACATCAGTCTCATTCTGGATTTCCAAAAGTCTCTACATTCAGGAAGATAACTTTTTGCAATTTCAATGTATGCTAACCACATACAGGCAGTGGGCTGTCTCCGCTGGGCTCACCAAAGGCCCAATGTTTTCAATGGCAGCAGGACCAGATAAATGTATAGGATTAGATGGGCACAAGTCTCAGAGACAGGGATGATGGCAGGGTCCTGGCTGAGATGCCACTGTGATCACTTAGTTTGTGTTTGGTGAGGTATGTATAAGGGTGTGTTAACAATGAATGAAACTTGCTTGGGGTCAAAAGAGTACACCCAAGGAAGCTGACAGAGGACTTGGGAGGTCACCCAGAATTGTGCCATTGCACTGCCCCAGGTACCACCTAGGTGCCGGTGGAGTGTTTAGACAAAAAGACACAGAAGCTTCTAGTTCCTCCTTAAAGTGTTTTCTGTCCTCAGAGAGCCGGAAATGGCTTATCAGGCTCCATTACTGGGAATTCCAGTATTATGGAATTCTAGACCAAGGGCTTAGCCATGCTTGGGCAGGCAGACTGGCTTGGTGTGCAGCTTTCTATCTGTGAGGTCTGAGGCAAGTCATCTTGGTCCTGAGCCTTTGGATGTGTGGGAATCTCAGATGGAGTTGGAGTTAGTAAGACCAGCAACTCTTGTGAGCCTCCAAAGTTTCTTAGTGGCTGCAGAGAATGTGCTGAATTACTACCCAGCAATGAAGGCAGCCAGACATCTATCTCTGTCTTAAATGTGTCACTAGCAGGCAGGGAAAGACATTAAGTCCTCATATGAATCAAGTCAATGATCAGTTCATACTCAGAGACCACGCCCTCCTTAGCACTGCTGGAAGTGGCCAGGAGGCCTCAGTCCAGGCAGTCTGCCACACAAGAATGAGGAGGCCCAGCCAGGGCAGTCCTTCTAGAGCAGGCCTCCTGGCATTCTGTGGTTCCAACGGCATTTCTCATCTTGTTGTTTGAGCCCTGTGATCTTCATGATTCACTCAGGGAAGTGCATCCCTTTTTTTCAGTTGAACCAAGCTGGGAAAGGCAAGATTTTGCCTAATAACACATAGATTTCTTTTTTTCTCACATAACTTCTCAATGGCAGAGGCAAAGCCACAACCCTTGGTTTCTTGTAGTAAGAGAAACTATTTTTGAAACTCTGATATGTGGTACCCCAGGGCACTTTCTTCCAGTCAGCTCTTATGGGAGGCCCGGGTGGGACCCTGTGCACCTTCCTTGTCTCCTTGCATGCCTGGGAGTCACTGGGTTGCAGGGCCACCAGCAGTGGGAGGTGCCTGAGGGTGGAGGGAAGAAGCTGTGGAGGGGAGTATCACTTCAGAAGCAGGACCTGAATTCCAGAAGGCTATGAAACAGTGGTAAGGAGAGGTGGTCAGGGTAGGAAAGGAGATTTAGACAGGGTACACTCAAAACCTTAAGTAACGAAAGGACCAGAAGAGCTTCAGAGGAAGACAGGAATGCCATGGTGAGTCCCCAGTGTTGAGCTCAGGGATATCCAGGATGGATAAGCAGACAGGCATCCTGCAGTGCTCCTGCGACTCCTGGATCTTCCTTACAGAGAGGCCCTGGCAGGAGGCACAAGAGGCCAAGGCCTGGCTTGTGAGAGAGGCCCTGGCTGCTGGAATAGCCCGTGCCCAGAAACTGCCACATGTGTTCTTCCCCTCCCCTCCCCCACACCCCCATGTCACTTCCATATTGGATGCCCATTTAGAGGTAAGGACACTTGAGGCCATCCATGTCATCAGCAGAGTCCTCTGTAGGGAGCATCTCTGACAGCCTCTCTGTCCCCTTCCCTCCAGGACCAGGTGACTCCCTCCAAAAGGCAGAAAGGTGTGGGGGAGGGGCCATAGGAACCAACACCAAACATCCTGCTACTTCCCACTGGCTCACCAGGAAAGGCTGTCTTGGGTAGAAGGTTGAGTATACAGGGTGCTCACTGCCTCTCCAGAATCTTGCATTTGTATCTCCTTACCCCATATTCTCTGCTCACCATCTACTGTGCTACTGTGGCAGCAGAATTTGAACTCAGAACTCTCTGCCACTGTTCTGGACTTGATTGGCATTTGGGGATTTGCAGGCCATCACAGGAAACAGGGCTGTGTGTACACAGACCCACACAGTTCTGACCCTCCCAGCACAGAGGACCAATGAGGGACCCAGTGTACAGCACTGCAGGCCAACAACACCCACCCATTACCCCTTCCCTCCCCCCCTGCCCTGCACACCATTCCCCCAGCCTGGGCTGGAGCTGCAGGCCATACCAAGGGCCCACACCCTAGGCGGGCACACAGGGTTGCCATTGTCTGCCAGTGCCAGGCACCCCCTCGTTTGCATAGCCACGTGAAGAATGCCAGGGAGCAGGCTGGGAACTTGTCCCTGAGAGGGGCTGAGGCTGTGGGGGAGGAAGCTGGCTGTAACATAGCAGGACCCTGCCTTCCCCCAGTTCAATCCAAGAAAGGCCGGTGGGCTGCTGGGGATGCAGGGGCCGGCCAGGGGGCTGCGGGAGTGGGAGCAGGGGCTTGACATTCCTCCTGCACCCACGCTGAGCCCGTGGGGCTGGAATGAGCGTGAGGGGATTGCTAATGAGATTGAGGAGAGTTAAACATTCCCTGCTCCTGAGGGCAAGAGGATGGGGCAGGAGGGAGTCTAGGAGGGACAGCCTGACCCGCAGGAATGTACAGAGGCCACCACTTCCTTCAGTCTGTCCTGGAGCTGGGAGCCAGGGCCCCACTGCCCCAGGTCTCAGCAGGAGCTGCTAAACCAGCCAGCAAGGGGATTAACAGGCTGGGCTGAGCCTTCCTTCAGGCAGATGATGGGAAGCTGGGGTTGGTCGTCCAGCTCCTGGCCAGGCCCCGGGCTGATCTGCAGCTAGCTCTGGCCCAGACACAAAAGGGCCCCTCTCTGACCCCTCAGATGGCCAGTAGACTCCACAGAACATATTTCATCGTCTGGCCTCCTCTATTTTTAATATACATACTCCAAGATTACCAGGACCCTTCTCCCTAACAGCCAGTATCCACACTAGTCCCTCTACATCTCACCTCAGAGCCCTTGTCAAAAAGGTTTCTCTGGTGCCCAGGCCTTGAGTTCATCCCCAGGATGGGCACCAAAAACAAACAAAAACCCACAGAAACAAAAAACCAAACTCTTCAAGCTGGACTTAATTTTCTTTTCTGACCTTAATCCATAGGGCAGAAACCCCAAGAGCCAGATCAGCCCTGCAAGAGCAAAGTTCGTGTCACTGGGCTAGTGCCCAGAGTAGGGATTATGAGAATTTCAGGACCCTTGCATCATCCCCTTGAAGGGAGCAGAAAGGCCTTGAGAGTCACGGGGGTCATTCTCTAGCCCCTCCTTTTCTGTCAGGGGTATCCACCTGGTTTCTAGGCCCCGCCCTCTGCTCCCAGGGAGCAGGGCAGGAGCTTTGCTGGGGACCCTGCCTGGCTCAGGCGGCTGCTGTGGGCGGGCTCTTGGCCTTTTCCAGCCCTTGGGCCTCCCCCTGCATTCTAGAATCCAGAGTTAGTGCCTTTGCTGCGGCTGCTGCCATAACCCTTTCTGGACTCCACCATTTGCTGCTTTCCAGAGCCAGCTGCTCCTCTTATCTGGCCATGACCACAGGGCTCCCCAGGATCCTGACCCAGCTCTGAGTCCTGGGACCCTCCATCCTTTCCCTTGGACCATGGCTAACTCAGGCCTCCAACTCCTGGGCTACTTCCTGGCCCTGGGTGGCTGGGTGGGCATCATTGCCAGCACAGCCCTGCCTCAGTGGAAGCAGTCCTCTTACGCAGGAGATGCCATCATCACCGCCGTGGGCCTCTACGAAGGGCTCTGGATGTCCTGCGCCTCCCAGAGCACTGGTCAGGTGCAATGCAAGCTCTATGACTCGCTGCTCGCTCTTGATGGTAGGTCTTGGGTCAGTGGGCCTGGGAGGGTTGGCAGGGGTCGAGGAGAGGTGACAGCTTAGGACGGGTGATGAGGACCTGGGAGGGGGGGGGTCTCAAGTGGATGTTCCTGGTCTTCTATCAGTGCTGGGCTCCTATTCCAGCCCCTTATTTCCTATTATCTTTCTGTGTGTAGCCAAAAATGTACTTGGCCCTCTCAGGAGTCCAGATCACTGTTCTGCCCCATAACGTTGTGAGTGACCAAACCTTTTGCATTCCGATGTTTTCAGCTGTTCAGGGAAGCATTAGAGGACAGAGGAGGGCCAAATGAGGCGAGGCCTGGCACTCCACAATTCCTTGAGTCCTTAGTTCCTCTTTTCTCATACTTTTCACATAGACACACACATGTACACACATATCACTCCTTAGTCATGCCACGCAGACACATATGCTGGCACATAGGTGTTTTCACACACACACACACACACAGTGGTGTCAGCACAGGCCCCTTTCTTCCTGGGTTGGGGAGTTGAAAGCATCAAGCTAGTACAGGCAGGCCTCCACCCTCCCTCAGGGACCCAGGTCTTCTGAGTCAGCCAGGCTCTGAAACTGACCTGCACCACCATGGAGTGCCCAGCACACAGCTACCATCAGTGATTCATAGGGTGAAGGAAAGTGAACAATCAGAATAGCTTCTAGGGGGCCAGGCTGGGTAGAACTAGGCCTCAGAAACTCTGTTCTCCCTTTGCTGAGCCTGAATGACCCCAGGAAGAGCTGCCCACTTCCTGCTGGATGTGCCCTAGGTTCAACACACAAAAACCAAAAAGTGAACACTTCTGAGCACTATTCAGAGGACCCCTCAAGGGGCAGTGGAAAACGCAGTCCTCAGACACCCCCTCCCCAGCCCCCCGTCACAGGCAGGCGGGCAGGTGGTCTGGCCTCCTTCCAGCACAGTTCAGACCTCACGCACTACTCAATTTCCCTCAGCCCTCCCTTTTTCTCCCCTCCCAGCCCTACTCAATACTGTCCTGGTCCTGGTCCTGCTACAGGTCACATCCAGTCAGCCCGAGCGTTGATGGTGGTAGCCGTGCTCCTGGGCTTTGTGGCCATGGTCCTCAGTGTTGTGGGCATGAAGTGCACACGAGTTGGAGACAGCAACCCTACTGCCAAGAGCCGTGTGGCCATCTCTGGTGGAGCCCTGTTCCTTCTGGCCGGTGAGTGCCCTTGCCTCCTCTATTCCCTAGGCTACTCTAGCAGGTGGCCCTGTCCCGCCAGCCAGCCGGTGCCGGCTGAGATGAGCACCCCCATGCTTTGTCCTCAGGCCTCTGCACGTTGACTGCTGTGTCATGGTATGCCACCCTGGTGACCCAGGAGTTCTTCAACCCAAGCACACCTGTCAACGCCCGGTGAGTGCTGGGGCTGGGTCTCCCACTTTTGTTCAACCATCACTTGGGGTGGGTGGGAAATGGGCCCCAGCTGCTATCTGAGAGGCTCTGGAGCCTGAAGCCAGGTGGGTGTGGCCAGGCCCTGGTCAGGGACAGGAATCCTATGGAGGGCACCCAGGTATGGCCTCCATGCTTATCTTCTTCTCTGTAAAGTGGAGCTAGAACTTGATGATCAGCTTTCCTATGTTTGAGGGTTTGTAACATCATGTGGGTACATAATTTGAGTCAAGTGCCTGGGCCTGGAGACTGTCTAGTACACCTCAGCTGGTTTTACTTCTGCTGGTTGCAGAAGCCCAAGGTGGATTTCTCCTACAACACAGCCATTTTATGAGCCAAGCAGATGACAAAGGAGAAAAAGGACAGATGGAGTAGGAGCCAGCAGCCACATTGGACCATCTTTGCCCTTCACCCTGGCTGGAAGGCAGTGGCCCTGGAGTAGGGTGGGGATGAGAAAAGATGCCTGGGTTGTTCAGAGTGCTCCTTGAAGGAGGCAGGGGTATGGAGGGAAGAGGAAGAGACTTCAGATGTGAGAGTTGGGCCCTGGATGCAGAGCCACAGCCACAAAGACCAGCCAAGCAAGATGTAGATGGAGAGGGACTGGATACCTTTATCCTTTTGGATATCCCTTGTCTCAAAGCTGCCTGTGCTGAACACTAAACACAGATCAATTTCAGCCTTTGCCCTCGTCCTCCAGGGGCCAGAAAAGCCTCCTGATAAAGGTGTGGCAAGGGGCAGGGTGAGCACTGAGGAGCATTAAGGAAAGCCCCCAGGAGGTGAACTTGACCCTGAAGCTAGAGGCCTTCTAGGAGGGAATGCCTTCAGCTAAGACTCAGAGACAGGAAGACCCAGACTGGCCAACAAGGCCAGGTGTGGAAGAACCAAGTGCCAAGCAGAGGAGTCAGCCTTCTCAAGACAGTAGTGCTAGCCAGGAGCTCGGCAGCTGCCAGGCTCCGTGCCTAGACTGTGAGAGAAAAAGGCAGTGGTTGCTCTGCTCCACTCATCTGGGCTGCAAAGGCTCTCCCATGCCCCCTCCACTGGCCAGATGGAGAAATGAGCTCCAGCGTGCTTGGAGACAGACGAAGCTTGTAGGTGAGGTGAGCCTGGAACTCCAGCTCCCATAGATTTCTCTATCCAGCTCCTGACTGAGAGGTCCAGAAAGCCCCGTGAGAGGCAAGGCCTGCAGAGGCATCATACCTGATTCCAGTCTCCCTACCCCTCACAGGTATGAATTTGGCCCGGCTCTGTTTGTAGGCTGGGCTTCGGCCGGCCTGGCCATGCTGGGGGGCTCCTTCCTTTGCTGTACCTGTCCGGAGCCTGAGAGAACCAACAGCAGCCCACAGCCCTACCGCCCTGGACCTTCAACTGCTGCCCGAGAGTATGTCTGAGCCCTGCCCAGCCTTCCTGCACAGCAGCCCTCCAGCCAGTCCCCACAGCAACCTGGCTAGGGCCAGTAGGGCCCAGATGTCTGCTGAGCTCAATCTGGGGGCTCTGGGTGGCTGGTCCTCAACAAGGTGCCCACTCTGTGCCCTGACACCAAAACCCAAACACTAAGGGAGAGATCAGAGGTGAAGCCTGACTCACACCATGTGCATACCCAGGGAGGCCGAGGCCCTGCCCAGTCAGCGCAGCCTGGTGGGCACCACATACTTCCACATGCTTTCCCCGGACAAAGCCTTATACAGCAGCCCAGCGCTGGTCTCTTCACCTGCCCATCTGTTTACTGAAGGGCCACTCTGTCCACTATGTACTGGACCTGGAGAACCCACAGACACCAAGATGGACCTTAGTGCCCAGCATGTTGGGGTGGGAAAACCCTTCACCCTTCTGCGTTCCTGGGCTCCTCATAGCAGCCCTTGGAAAAGGCAGTCCTTGGATAAGAAACATCCCCATGTTACCCAAGTCACTGAGGCTCGGACACCAAGAGGCTTCATTGGGCTGTCTCCAAGGCCAGCACTGCCTGAATGTCCACAGGCCACTAGGTCAGACCCCTGGGAATGAGCCCCAGGCAGGGATGCTCTGAGGGCCAAGGTCCTACTGTGTTGGCCAGGTCCTGCACTCCAGTCTTCCCCACTGCAGCTCATCCCACTAACCAGTTCTCTCTCTTTTGACTTGCAGACCCATTGTTAAATTGCCTGCCTCCACCAAGGGCCCCCTGGGTGTGTAATGTCCAGGTTTCCAGCCAGGCTCTGTCTGACTCTCTGCCCTATCTAGACTTTGTGTATTTGATACTTTTTGGAAAGAACGTTCAGCCTCAAGTGTGGTGTCATCTGGTGTGTTCTTGGTGTGGCTAGCATGCGGCCTGGCTCAGAGGTGACCCCTGAGGTGGTTGGGGACAGACAGCACATACAAGGTGTATCAGCAAGCACGCGGGGCTCCTGCCTCTTGTCTCCTAACCTTCCCACATTGGTCTTGGCATTTGCACTTCTTGAAGCCTGCACTAGGAGTAGGTCTCCACCCCTGGGGTCAGGGAATGTGTGGGAACACCTGTGGTAACAGTCCTCAGGTAACAAGCCCTGTCCTTTACAGACCTAAGGCCATCCCTATAAGGCTTCTTGCCAGGTGCCGGACCAGTCCAGTAAGAGGATAATCTATGGTAGTCCGCTGGTGAAGGGACTAGAGAATGGACTAGAGAATTAGCCTGTCCTTAGCCCCCAGCTCAGCTCCCACGTTGGATCCACAGTGAAGACTGGTCAGTTGGAAAGGCTTATTATAGCCTCTTAAGTCAGGTACTACCCCTCTAGAAGTAGAGACATCAGACAACCAGGCCAGACAAGGCAGGGTCAGGCAAGTGTCACCACTGTCCTTCCTCCCTTGCCTCTCTCAGTCAGCTGTAACTTCCCCTTACCCATCTACAACCACATCCCCACCAAGTCACCAAATCTGAGGCTTCTCCCTTAAGTTTGACTCTGGAAGGTGAAGGGATTAAAGTCAAATCAGACAAGGTGTCTGTGTCCACATTGCCACTGAGGCTAGGGTGCTGCAAAGGAATCTCCTGCCCCTTGAGTTATGGCTGCACAGCTAGCTACTGCACATCCATGGGGGCTACTGGCCAGAGAAAGTGACCACCCACCTCTAAAACAGGCTCCCGGAGTCCTGCCTCTTGAATGGGGATTGAGAACTATAGACAAGTCCCAAAACCTGCTGTGCCTTGGAGTCATCTAGAGGCTGATAGCAAGCTCATAGATGTGGACTATCAGTCTGAAGGAATGTGGGCATCAGTTTATGTAAGTCCTTGGGGACTGCAGTGTTATGAACTGTGCCTCTCTAAGACCTACACTTGACCACTGAGGGGTCCAGAGGGCAAAAGGACCTGACAAGAGGGAGGGGAGGCAAAGCTGGAAAGAGAACCCACCTTCTTCCACAGTCCAAGCTGTTGGGGTGAGTTGCCAGCATTCTCTTTTGCGCTGAATGATTCGGTCTGAATCCTGTCACACAGCCAAAAGAACTCCAACTCCCTGGAACTAAGTAGTATACTGGGGCTGATAATCCTTAGTCCTTGTCATTTGGTAGTAAGGTTGGCAGAAGACATGCATCATCTCTTAAGATGAAGACATTAGAGACTTGAGATTTAGTAAGAATGAGATAGAATGTTCTAGCGTCTTGTGGGTATCAGGGACAGGCTGTGAGAGACTGTCCTGAAGCTTATCTGGTTCTTCATTGAGAAGCTTCTTCTGAACTGCAGCCAGGATTGGAAAGGCCAGATAACCACACTCCTGGCTCAAGTGCACAGCCAATTAATAGTGATTTAAAATGTGTGTGGCAGGCTGGGGTATAGCTCAGTGCAAAGTGCTTGCCTAGCAAGTGCAACGTGCTGGTTTGAAGCCCAGTATCAAAGACAAAAAAAAAAAATGTTAATAAAAAAAAAACAAAATATGTGTGGCTGTCAAGTGGAAAGGTTGTTTCTTTTTGAAGCCAAGAGTTTGGGGAATCTGACCCCACAGGCCTCTCCTGAACCCCATGCAAATGTCCACATCAAGGTCACCTAGACTGCCAGAGGAAGGCCAAATTCCCAGGCCTCAGGGCCAGCCTGTTGTTTTCTGTCCTCCAGGCTAAGGGATTGGGCACTCAAAAAGGAAGGACTCCAAAGCTTTTGCCACTTTTTTTTTTTTTTTTTTGCCATTCCTGGGGCTTGAACTCAGGGCCTGGGCACTGTCCCTGAACTTTTTTGCTCAAGGCTAGCACTCTACCACTTGAGCCATGCCACTTCAGGCTTTTTCTGTTCATGTGGTGCTGAGGAATCAAACCCAGGGCTTCGTGCATGCTAGCTAGTCTACCACTAAGCCACATTCCCAGCCCTTTGCCCTTGTTTATAAGTAGATGAAGTCCCTGAGAATGAACCTGAAAGGTTTGTGCTCAGCCTCAAAGGAAAGTGATAGATCCTGGGTGAGCTGAGTAGGAAACTCTACTGCCTGGGAAGATGCTTGAAAAATGTGCATCTGAGATGGCTGAAGCCTATTAGACAATTTGAAAGAATTATAGTCAATTGTGTTACATTTGTTAACTGTGATAATGACACTGTGGTTCTTCCTTTTTATCCTAACCTGGAAGAGGTGGTACACACTGAGATGATGGCTGGATTTGTTTTAAAATGCCCTGTGAACAAGAAGCTGTAAGATTGGTAAAGATCACTCTCTTTATATTTGTATGTTTGCTAATTAAAGACAAAACATTAAAAAATACCTCCCAAGTTTGCTGATTGTATCCTTTCACACTCCTCCCAACAGCAGAGCAAGAAGGGTAACTCTAGAAACTTATTACTCACTGCCAAGGCCTCAGCCACCAACAATAAATCACCTGGAAACTTGTTAGAAATGCAGCAGTCTCACCCATCCTTTCCCACCCAGACCTAGTAAGTTAACAAGATCTACAGGTAGTTTGTACATATATGTAAATTTGAAAAACACCAAGGTGCTGCTTCTTAAAACCGAGAATTTCCATTGAGCTAATGCCGTTTTCTTTGCCTTTTGTTAGCTAGGTCAGTTAATGGGGTTGTCTGATTTTTGTCTAAAATGAATTTTTGTTTTGGTACTAGTACTGGGTCTTTAACTCAGGGCCTGGGAACCGTCCCTGAGCTTCTTTTGATCAAGGCTAGGTATTTACCATTTGAGCTACATTTCCAACTTCTTTGGTAGTTTACTGGGGATAGTCTCACAGACCTTTCTGCCCAGGCTGGCTTAGAATTGCAATCCTCAGAGCTCAGCTAGGACTACAGGTGTGAGCCATCAGTATCCAGCTAAAGTGGCAATTTGTGAGGAGCCATAACTGACTCAGGCAAAATTTTTGTTTGGGTTTTTTTTAACTGTATTTTTTTTTTTGTCTTTTCTTTTTTGGTACTGGGGATCGAACCCAGGACGTTGCGCTTGCTAGGCAAGCGCTTTGCCACTGAGCTACATCCCAGCCCATCAGGCAAAATTTTTGAATAACAACCAGATTACTGCTTCCCAATATTTTCAATACATAAAATTAATATTTGGTTTAACTTATTCTAGCCAACCCTATTGAAAACTGAAAATTGTTGGGTAAAGCATAAAAATACCTTTAAAGTATCAAAGGGTTGACACATTAAGGGATACTCCAATCAAAGCCAGAGAAGCTGTAAGCCACACAATATCCCACAAGATCCCCAAATGCAGCAGACTCCCTAGTTGGAATGGCTGCAGGTTTGTTATGAATTTAAGTAGATGGGATTGGACACAAATGGATACTTGAGGGAGCAGAAACACAGATACTCACAGGTAAACAGATTTAGTGATGGGAAGACTAAATCCTATAGTATTGAAGTTATCTGGAAAACTTCTTAAATATATTTTTTGGGGGTTGGTATTAAACTCAAGGTCTTGCAATTGCTAGATGGGCACTTTGTCACTTAAGTCCAGGCCATGGGGGCCTGCCTAAGTGCTATTCTTGAGCTTTTACTCAAGGATTGTTCTACCACTTGGAGCCAGAGTGCCACTTCCAGTTTTCTGATGGTTAACTGGAGATGAATCTCATAGATTTTCCTGCCCAGGACAGGCTGGCTTTGAACCACAATCCTCAGGCCTCAGCCTGCTAAGTAGCTAGGTTAATAGGTGTGAACCACCAGTGTTCAGCACAGATGTCTACTTATATGTATACATGTCTACACATGTATGTATATGGGTATATATCTATTCTCTCCCTACAAAGGTTTAAGGTTCACAACGGCATTTCAACAGAAATTAGCACACATACTCATCTTGATTTCTGTGTCTTATTTCCCTAATACAAGTTATTAGATAGCCTTAGGAATCACCAAGGTGCAATACCCAAGTGCCTCTTCATATACACCCCAAAATGATCTTCAAAGATATGCAAATGAATTTTTTTTCTGATGGCTCTGTTCTTTACCTTTTATCTCCTGTATTCTTATGCACATCTGTGGGAAAGTGGGGAGAGGGTAACAGGAGGAAAAAGGGTGAAAGGAGATTGATGAAAGTGAACTGGGTAGATGGGGAGGGAGGGAATGGAAGAGAATGAGAACAGATGGCCCTGAAAGAAAATGTATGGGCTGGGAATATGGCTTAGTGGCGAAGTGCTTGCCTAGCATGCATGAAGCCCTGGGTTCGATTCTTTAGTACCACATAAGCAGAAATGGCCAGAAATGGCACTATGACTTGGGTAGAGTGCTATCCTTGAGCAAATCTCAGGGACAGTGCCAAGTTTTAAGCCCCAGGACTAGCAAATAACAAAAGGAAATGTACTTATTGCCTGACATATGTAAATGTAATCCTGCTGTGTATCACTCTGACAAATTTTTTTTTTAAAAAGTTATCAGGGGGCTGGTAATGTGGCTCAGTGGTAGAGTGCTTGCCTAGCATGCCTGAAGCCCTGGGTTCAATTCCTCAGCACTACATAAACAGAAAAAGCCGGAAGTAGTATTGTGGCTCAAGTGGTAGAATGCTACTCTTGAGAAAATGCAATTCAGGAGCAGTGACCAGGCCCTGAGTTCAAAAGAAAAAAAAAAGTTATCAGAACTCCTTAAAGAAGTAGCCTTGATTCAAGGGGTAGGGTATGAAAAACACAGAATGAATCTAGAACATCTTGATGTAAGCAAGCAACAGTAAGCAACTGTTCAGGGATTGATGAAGGCATAACTTCTGGGAATAGTTAACCAGCTGTTTACCAACATTTAAAGAGACTACAATAAAGAAAAAAATGACTATATTCCCACTGGGATAGCTTAGATGGTAAACAACCTTGTGTGTGGTCTATCTTTCCCCATCCCTATCTTCCCAACAGAAAATTAGATGGCAACCTACAATTGAATCTAATTGTTTTATACTTTATTTCCATGATAGTAGTTATCCTTTCAGTTGTAGATGTAGAACTTCCCCAAGGGAGGGAACTTTCTGAACTCATTTGTATGACCAGCACAGAATTATGCTTATTCCCAATTCCCACCCATGCAATGCCCCCTTACACTACGAAAGGGAGAAAAGTTACAAAACAATCTCTGATAAAGATACCAAGTCTCCACATAATACTAGTAAATCAAATCTAACAGAACTGCAGAAAGCTTACACACCATCACAAAGTATGTATTGCACAGATGGAACCATTACTCAACCTACAAATCATCAGTGAAAAAACCGTAAGACAATGTCAGTAGATGCAGAAAAAGCATTCTACAAAAACCAACATCAAGCTGGAGATGTGTAGTTCAAATGGCAGAGTGCCTGACTAGCAAGTATGAGTTCCAACAGTAGCACACAAAAAAGTTTCACCTTTTCATAATAAAAACTCATTAAACCAGGGTGCTCATGCCTATAATCCTAGCTACTCAGGAGGCTGAGATCTGAGGATCACGCTCAAAGCCAGCCCAGGCAGGAAAGTTGGTGAAACTCTTATCTCCAATAAACCACCAGAAAACCGGAGTGGCACTGTGGCTCAAGTGGTAGAGTGCTAGCCTTGAGCTGAAGAGCTGAGGGACAGTACCCAGGCCCAGAGTTCAGGCCCCATGACTGACCAACAAACAAAAATCCTCTCATTAAACCAGGTGTTGGTAACTCATGTCTGTAACCCTAAGCCACTCAAGAGGCTGAGACCTCAGGATGGCTGTTTGGAGCCAGCTGGGAGGGAAGACGAAAGCCTATGATACTCTCATCTCCAATTAACCACCCCTAAAACCTAAATGTATAGCCAGGGCTCAAGTAAGCACTAAAGTAGATCAAAAAAAACAAACTCAGGTTCACCCCCAGATGGAGCTAAAGCCTCAGAATCCACACACACAACAAAGAGACATCTCAAAGTCTTTTTTGCATAACTCAATTTTACTTAGAAAAACCTGAAGATCTGGGGAGGGGGAAAAAAAGAAAGGAAAAAAAATAACCAAAACCTCTTTGAGCCCCAGCACCACTTCCAGTTTTCTGGGGTTTAGCTGGAGATAGGAGTGTGCACACACTGTCCTGCCCAGGCTTACGTGGAGTAGCTAGGATTCCAGGCATGAGCCACAGCACCAGGCTTGGAATGACTTAAATTATGGCTAAGTCCTACAAATGATAAAGACCTTAGTAACTAAAAACTACAGATTTACACAAAGACAATTATTTTATTTAAGACCTTTATTAACAGGTGCTTGCAGTTTGTTGACTTTTTTGAAAAAATCAAGTTGTAAACTTTTATTACAAATTAAAAATGAAGTTCTTAAAAATCTCAACTTGACCAGATATGAAACAATTTAAAAACCTTTAAAGGTGTATTGAGAAAAACCAGGCTTTTTTTTTTTTTAAAAAACACGTTTGCCATTACCAAAAAGAGACATCTTTAGATAAAAATAATAAAAACCCCATGCTGCATAGATAATGCAGATAGTTCTAGTTATCTGGTCAACGGGCAAAAAGCAAGCACTTAAGGTCTTCAGCTCCAATCTTTTGTTCATTTCTTATTGCTGGAATTTCATATTCATTTCTTCTTGTTGGATGACTAAACTGCAGAGAAAATAAATGAAAGATTATTATATATATGACCATTAATGATTATCACAAATATCATCACAATGCCCATTTAGCATAATAAACACTAGGATCACATCAGTAATGTGTAAAGGAGACATTAACCTAACTTGGTTTAATCTAAGTCACTTCCAAACAGGAATGGAAATAGTAATAAACACTAGTTTACTGTACTAGTTCTGGAGGTCAAAGGCAATCTAGAAAATATAAAGGGAAAAAAACCTGAAAAACTATAGCTGAAAGTACTAATTCCAGAGCCAAAAATAATTACTGTCTTATTATGTAAAAAGCCAAATGTAAGAAAGCTGTTAATTTTGGAAAAGTGTACACATGCAAAGAAAATGAAGACAATAGCCGGGGGCTGGTGGCTCACGCCTGTAATCCTAGCTACTCAGGAGGCTGAGATCTGAGGATTGCAGTTCAAAGCAAGCCCTGGCAGAAAAGTCCATGAGATTTTTATCTCCAATTAACCATCAGAAACCCGGAAGTGGCGCTGTGGCTCAAGTAGTAGAGTGTTCACCTTGAGCTGAAGAACTCAGGGACAGTGCCCAGGCCCAGAGTTCAAGCCCTGCGACCAACCAAAAAAAAAAAGGAAGACAACAAGCTATAGCAACAAAATAATACAATGTGACAGCATTTAATCAGAGAATTATTAGCTTTACAGGCACTTTTAAAAACAACTACAAATAGTTTAGATCCAATCTAGGTTTCTATTTACCATCGCCTATTATTATTTTTTTTTTTGCCAGTCATGGGGCCTGAATTCTGGGTCTGGGCGCTGTCCCTCAGCTCTTCAGCTCAAGGCTAGCTCTCTACCACTGGAGCCACAGCGCCACTTCCAGCTTTTTCTGTTTATGTGGTGCTGAGGAATCGAACCCAGGGCTTCATGCTTGCAAGACATGCACTCTACCGCTGAGCTACCTTCCCAGCCCTCATCACTTAAGTTATTAATGCCTTCTTTGTTTCTTTTTTCTTTTTTTGGTCTGGTCATGGGGCCTGAACTCTGGGCCTGGGCGCTGTCCCTCAGCTCTTCAGCTCAAGGCTAGTGCTCTACCACTTGAGCCACAGTGCCACTTCCAGCTTTTTTCTTTTTGCTTATGTGGGGCTGAGGAATCGAACCCAGGGCCTCAGGCATGCAAGGCAAGCGCTCTACCACTGAGCCACCTTCCCAGCCCTTAATGCCTTCTTTTTGTTTGTGCACCAATATTAAGAACTTGAACTCAGGGCCTCATTTTCTTGTGCTTGGCTTCCTTATTCATAGCTGGACTCTATTTGAGTCACAGCTCCACTTCCAGATTTTGTGATTGATTGCAGGTCAGAGCCTTACAGATTTTCCTGTGTGGGCTTGGCTTCAACTTTTGCAACTATTTCAATAGCTACTTTTGCCTCTCTTAAGAAGCATAATGTTAAGTTGTGTGCTCATAAAGTAAGCAAGTTTATCTGTTAAAAAAACCCAAAAACACATAAGATGACAAATTATACAATGTGAAAATTCTCCATGTACAAAAATAGAAAACTTGCAGAGGTCCAAACATGGCTGATATCCAATATTTCTATAATGAAACATCTGAGTAATTTTAAGATTGGGTGAATGACCTTGTAAATAAAATGGTGCATTTACAACATCTAGAGTTCAGTTTCTTTCCTTGCATTAATGGATTACCCATGACTATTTCTGCTGTTGCCAAAGGTGGAGGGACTTACCCGGATGATGGTAAAGATGGTAAGCCGGCATTTACTCAGCCCCGCCCTGCTCAGCCTCGGGAGCGGACGAATTCTCAGCTGGTGGATCGGCTGCTTTTGTCTCTTTGCCATCTTGTGGTTTAGGGTTCTCTGGGCGTCTGCGTCGGTAATTGAAATTGCGGCGGTACCGACGTTGAGGTGGCTGCTGACCTTGGGTCTCATCTCCTTGATTTTCCTTATCTTCTTCATTACCATCCTCTCTAGGCTGTCTTTGGCGAGGAGGGCCTCTGGAATGAACATTTTACTAACTTAGGAATTATACTATCTTTCTTTAACCCACCCACCAGCGTCAACACTTGATTGTTATCTGCAGGAATCCAGCAAAAACTCTTAGTGGCAATATTGGCTCAAAAACAGTGTAAAGTGGGGCTGGGAAGGTGGCTCAGTGATAGACTGCTTGCCTTGTATGCATGAGGCCCTGAGTTCGATTCCTCAGCACCATATACAAAGAAAAAGCTGGAAGTAGGTGCTGTGGCTCAATTGATAGAGTGCTAGCCTTGAGCTAAAGAGCTCAGAGATAGCGCCCAGAACCAGAGTTCAAGCTCCATGATCAACCAAAAAAAAAAAAAAAAGTGTAATGTGATCTGAAGCATTTAAACTTGTGAGGCCCTGATTTCAAACCTCAGTACCACAAAACAAACTCTCTGGTTTTATAATTTCAAAATACAATCACTTCTTGCTAAGATAGCAACACTAAATTACTTGATAAGCCAGAAATGCCAACTACTTGAGTATATATGGGCACCATAATGTATAAACATGTCAAGAAAAACGGTTTTCATGGATTCCCAAACTTTTGCTTTCCGTATAATCTATTACAAAATTAATCATTGAGAAGGAGATTCAGTGGTAGAATTCATGCCTCACAAGCATGAGGCCCTGGGTTCAATTCCTCAGCACCACAGAAAAATCCGTAAGTGGCACTGTGGGCTCAAGTGGTACAGCACTAGCCTTGAGTTGAAGAGCTGAGGGACAGTGTTCAGGGCCCAGAGTTCAAGCCCAATGAAGGACCAAAAAACAAACAAACATAATAAACAAGATAGTAGCAGTAATGACACACCAGTATTTTAACATCAGGCATTCTGGTAACTACATACTTGCAGGAAACCGAAACCAAAGATGCTCCCTTCACATGAATAAGTACACAGCAGATATTTCGACAATTTCTTCAAGTCATTTAAGGATACACCCTAGCAACTACCTGTAAAACTTGTGCACATAATACCAAATACTAGAGCTGGGAAGGTGGCTCAGTGGTAGAATGCTTGCCTTACATGCATGAGGCCCTGGGTTTTATACCTCAGTACCACATAAGCAAAAAAGCTCAAGTGTCACTGTGGCTCAAGTAGTAGAGTGCTAGCCTTAAGCAAAAGAAGCTAAGAAACAGGGCCCAGGCCCTCAGTTCAAGCCCTAGGAACAGTTTTCTCTCTCTCTCTCATGCACACACTCACACACTACTAGTAATAACAGCCAAAAGTAGAATATCCAAGAATATGATTTGTTCATAAAAAAGATCAAGTACCGATGTATATACTACATGAGAATCTTGAAAATATGTGCAAAGTAGAAGCAGAAACAGCCATATATTTATTTCATGATTTCATTTCTAGGAATATCCAAAACAAGTAAATCTAGAGACAAAATAAGACTCAAAGCCACTCACTTGGTTCATGACAAACACTAGTAATTCAAAAGCCTGTAACCACCAAAAAGCCAGAAATGGATCTGTGGCTCAAGTGGTAGAGCACTAGCCTTGCGCAAAAAGCTCAAGGACAGTGTCCAGACCTGGAGCACACCTGTGTGTGCACATGCGCGCACACATACACAAAGGCTTAATGATTTAACCCAACTTTGGAGAGGCTGAAGTAATCTTGAAGGCATTCTCAACCTCAAAAATCTCACAGCTCCAACACCAGGATCTTGTCTCTTAATCTGCAATCACCTCAGCATATTCTAGCTTTTTACCTCTACATCCTTCAAGTACAACAAACAAAACCCAACAGCAACAAAAAAACCACTCACTTTCCACTGCAACTGACCCTCTTTCTCCTAAAGCCACATTTCCACTGGTGAGTTTTTCTAACTGGATGGGTTTGTCAGTAGTCAACCTTTGGCAAACTGCTTTGTTTTTCCCATGCCAGCCCTCAACTGATGGGCTACTTAACCACAGGAACAGTTCTACTCTCTTCCTGTGGCTTCTTGGTCAACTCTCCTTTATCTATAGAAATTCTAGATTTTCACCTTTCAGCTACTACCTCTTTTCTTCTGCAGTGACAAGATGATAGTTTTATTTAGAAAAACCTTACATTTCTTTTTGTACTCTTCTCATTTCTATCACTCCAAGTGTGCGGACACTGTAATCTTTCTCTCATTCCTAATTTAGATTAGGACCAGTCTTGAATGTTTCTCATCCCTTCTTTACACAAGTAAGTACATGATCAATCCTTAGCAATGTCATCAACTATATAGCCCAATGTATCCAACTCTGCTAACCCAGCCCATCGCTCAAAGGACTGGAAAAAGACAGCCAAGTGCAATGGGCTCTTGCAACCACTCTTCAACTCACTGACCAATGGCTGTCGATTGTACTTTTTAATCTTCCTTATAAACAAAAAAATCCTTTTTTTTTTTCCTTTGTCGGTCGTGGGGCTTGAACTCTGGGCCTGGGCACTGTCCCTCAGCTCTTCAGCTCATGGCGAGCGCTCTACCACTTGAGCTACAGCACCACTTCCTAATGTTAGGATTCCTTTCTGTTTGCTTTGAGCCCACACCAAAACTCCATGCAGTCTTACTTGAATTGACAAGTGATTAAGAACAAATCCCTACCTAGGTTAAAATTTTAAAGCAAAATGTGTTGCTTTAAAGTTGTAGTAATTACCTGATGTTTTCAAGTATTTGGGGAGGGGGCGGGGCGGTTGTTGGTTGTGGGGCTTGAACTTTGGACCTAGGTGCTATCCCTGAGCTCTTCAGCTCAAGGCAAGTGCTCCACTGCTCCAGCCACAGAGCCACTTCCGGTTTTCTGGTGGTTTATTGGAGATAAGATTCTCAGGGACTTTCCTGCCCGGGCTGGCTTTGAACCATGATCCTCCAGATCACAGCCTCCTGAGTAGCTAGGATTACAGGTGTGAGCCACTGGCACCAATATATTTAAAAATTACTGTAATAAAAAGATAAACCAAACATTCCTAATCTACTTGGTTAATAGGGCTTCTTTCTTCCAAATGTTACAATTTTATCAGTGACTCACCAAATAACAAAAAATAAGAAATGACTTATTAATAGTAAATCATGCTATTTCTATGTAAAATTTATTCTGTTGGCTCTTCATATACTTACTCCATTAGGGTGTAGTTCAGATACTCCTAATGCCTAAGATGTGTATAATTTAAACCACTCTCTTACCTGGTATACAAAGACAGAATATTTGGAATTCCATACTCATTAAAAGAAAAAAAAAAGTATAAAGTAGACCTCATCTATACAAGCTGTTTTTAATCAATGCCAGCAAAGAAGGTGCAAAGAATACATTCTCAAAGAAAACTGACTTCAGGTTCATCTCTTAGGCATCTGATGAAAGAAAATGTGAAGCGTTAACAGATAAGTGATTGAACAAAATCACTAGAAGCACGATGCTTGCAGGCCTAATGTTCAGTCAAGCAACTGAATAGAAACAGGTTTATATAGGCCATACCTGCGGAATCGTGGTCTATAACCCCGATACATATTCTGTCTCACTGGTCTACCTTGTTCTCCTGCACCCTGGTTGTCAGCACCCTGTAAGAGTAACAGAAATGAAAACCTATCGGATTAGTTAACAGAGTTGAGACAAATAGGCAAATCCAAATACACAAATTCCAAGAGTTAAAAGATAAAAATAGAGGGGCTGGGAAGGTGGCTCCGTGGTAGAGCATTTGCCTTGCATGCCTGAGGCCCTGGGTTCGATTCCTCAGCGCCACATAAGCAAAAAGGAAAAAACGGGAAGTGGCGCTGTGGCTCAAGTGGTAGAGCGCTAGCCGTGAGCTGAAGAGCTGAGGGACAGCGCCCAGGCCCAGAGGTCAAGCCCCACGACCGGACCCAAAAATTAATTAATTAATTAAAATAAAAATAGAAACCAGCCAGATGCAGTGGCTCATAGCAGTAATCCAAGCTATTTGGGATGTGAAGATCAGGAGATCAAGCACAGCTGGGGCCAAGGTTTGAGCATATTCCCATCTCACCAATCAGTCTGAGTGCTATGGCAGAGACCTGTGACAGCAGCTACATGCTAAGTGTAAATAAATACAAGGACTGTGGTCCATGCTGGCCTAGGCAAAAATATAAGTCCTTATCTCCAAAATAATCAAAACAAAAATGGCCGGGGATGTGGCTAACGTATCTACGTCAAACATGAAGCCCCTTAGCTCAAATCATAGTACCATAAGATATAAAAAAGCAGCAGTTATAATACTCAGGAAATACAGTCCTATGAAAATACACAGTTAAAGGCTAGAGATGCAGTTCAATGAATGGGCCCTGGGCTACAAAAATTTCTGTCCCATGCTAATGGTATGGCTTACCTCCATCACTTCTCCCTGCACAGGAGGGTTGGAATACTGTGGTCGACGCCCATAGGGTCTCCGCATGTAGTAAGGTGGGAACCTTCGTCTGCGGTAGGGCCGGCGTTGTTGGGCCTGGCCTTCGGGAGCACTCTCCGATCCCTCATTCTTTTCCCCACTCTCACTATTCTGGTAATTCTGCTGGTAATTGCGTGGAGGACCCCTACGACGTGGATAGCGTCTATAATGGTTACGATCTGCTGCATATTTACTGCCTTGAACTGGAACTCCACCAGGACCTGTAACATTTGCTGCCTCCGCACCCTACAAAAGCCATTACATATTGGTAGTGATAGTGACAACAGAAATAGGAGTATTTCCAACAATTTTCACACAAATCCAAGGAAAAAACAGAAAAAAAAACAAAGAACAGAAATAAACAAAAAACCCAAAGGGGTGAGGGAGTTGTCTGCATGGGCAGGGATGCATAGAAATGACTAAGTTTCAGCTCCTCACTGTTCTGAAGAGACTGCTCTCTAACTGCAGCCAGCAGCACATTAGGCTTGATGCACCTGTGTTCATGTGGTCACCTGAACACATCATCCATCCACATTAGAGCCACCATCCTAATGGATGACATCTCCAAATTATTTCCATACTCAAGTCAAACCTTTACACAAAAAGCATCCTCACCTTTTCTCCTTCAACAACATCAAACTCCACAGTCTCTCCATCTCCTACACTGCGAAGGTACTTCCTGGGGTTATTCTTCTTTATGGCAGTCTAGTAATATCACATTCCAAAAATAGATTAACAGGGGAGAATAATGTGCTTTTTCATTTAAAATGTACCAGAGTCAATTATTATTTTAGCTTGAATATACACTTATCTTAATAATATTTGCTTTAAGTAAGATGGAACCATCAGTTAAGTTTTTAGGGAAGCAGGGACCAATGCTACCCCCAACCACAACAAAGTCTCCAATCTTAGAAGGCCCCCGACATTTTACCACTATTTACAAAACCAATTTAACACTCAAGAACAGACACCACAATAGCATATTCATATTTTTTAATGCTCTTTGCAAAAGCATTACATGTAACTTGGAACAAAATGAGGCTACCATCTATTCCCCAAAGACTGCACTTAATAATAGAAGCTAGCCCCACACATGGCCAGTTTAGATGACAGGCGAGTTTAGTTTTACATGCTTCAAAGTTGACCAAACCAACTTTGTCCCTGTGTTACCATATCAACCAATGTCAACCAAAATTCCTTCCAACCTGTGATAATACTTCCAGGGAAATGCATTTCACATATATTAACTCTGTCACTGTTATTATCTGACAACATAGGGCTGTTGGTTATTATGTCCCAAAAATACAATAACACAACTGGCTTTTAAATGTTAGGTGACTTGCCCAAGGTCATATAGCTAGTAAGTGGCAAAGGAGAGAACTTTTCTAAATCCAGGTCTTGGGACTCAAAATCCCCATGTTCATTCCACATCACAGCAGTATCCATTACAGGATCACCCATGCATTTCCATCCCAGAGGAGGCAGGACAACCAACCAATCTGAGGGCAATTAAGTTGCTCAGAACTGCAGTCTCCTTGATACACCACTAAGAATCGAGCAGCCAAAGTCTCTACCTAGAAACAACTACATGTTGAAACCATTTCCAAAATAAAGGAAAGCATATTGGTGACACCTTTTGGGTCAAAATCAACTGGGTGGGTTAAATCAAATTGATCTCATCTGTCATCTAAACCGTCACATAGTTTGTTTGTACTTTTCATATATAGCAGACTCTCAGTTACCTGAATCATGGGAGATAGCATAAGTATGAATTATTAAAATCCCCAAACTCTTTCTCTCACTGTTGCCAACAGGCAAGGCAGCAAAAGCCTTGGTTGGTGTCTCTTACTTTTAAACCTGCATGTTCTTTTGAACATGCAGAAGGAACAGGTTAAGTTACCTTCACCCACATAAGAATACTAATTTTGTAAAACATTTAAGGTAACATTTTGTCCCATCTGTCTTGTATCTGTACTTAGAATTTAAACACTGTCATAATTACAATTGACCCTTGGATTATCTGACTGGGTTTTGGGTATACTAAATTTGATCTGGTTTATCAGACTGTTAATGAATGTTGTACAGCACACTTCAGAGTGTGCTATACAACACAAACCTATGATAGCCAGCTCTTCCTAAGAACTGAGCTGTTATCTAACCTCCCTTACATGCCTGAACTTAAGAGTTGGAAACTGACTCTGCCTTTTGTGTTTTGCATTAGTGTATAAGAATTCTTCAAATAATCTTAATGAGCAGACATTTCAAGAGTTTAGTGAAAAAAACTTCAGTATATACACATACAAATTATGTTTTCCCTATGATTCCATACCTGTGAAAGCGAACAAGTACAATGGAACCTTTAAGTATAATTAATTTTGAGGTAGAGGCTTACTTTAAGCAATAATCCTAACTACTCAATGCCTGAGCATTTTCAAAAGCTTTTTCCTTAAATGATATTTCAGGAGAAAATTCAGCACATACATATAATATATATGCACTTGTGCGGGTGCGTGAACGAACACACACACACACACACACACACACACACACACACACACACTACACTACACTACACTAAGCTTTCTCCTTCTACAACACTGGTAACCAACCTAATTATTTACTGAGTAATCCCAAACTCGCCACAATCCCTTTCACTTAAAACTACTGGTTAAATCATTCCCAAAGCCATCAACTTTGGTAAAGCAAAACAAAATACTCCTTTTTTGTTTATAAAAAATAGGAGTTAATGTCAATGGTGATTATGAGTTTATTGGAATTAGGTATAAAAACTTAGTGCACATATTTAAGCATGCTATCACTTATCAGGTAATTAAATAAATGGGTGGTTGGATTTAACCATTTGGAGAACACATTCACCCTTTTTTCTTTGTATGCCTTGAGTCAGAAGTGTAGGTATTTACACAAGCACTCACCTGGTGTACAAATACATCTTCCTTGGTGTCATTCCTGCAATAAAGAACAAAGTAAACAGAACAAAGTTAGAAGATGGAAAACATTTCATATTCCTAAAGATGAAGAATATGCCTAGTCATTGGTGCATTTTCACCTTTTCCTTGACTGTCTGGATTAGTTTTATCTCCAACTACCACCAAAAAACTGAAAGTTGAGCTGTGTTTCAGGTGGTAGAAAACAAGCTTTGGGCAAAAAAGCTCACTGACAGAGCCCAGGTTCTGAGGTCAAGTCCCAGGGCTGACAAAGATCCCCACACACTAATAAGCAACTGCAACAATGGTAATCCCATAAACTGTAAGAGGCTAAACAAAAGGTTCTAATAAAATCAAAGTGTGACAAGCAAAATATATTGCCACTCCTTATCCTATTAAATATTAACAATGTTACAGTATAATCCACCTTTATCTCTAGAACACCGTAACAGAAGTAGGAAGTATTTTCCCATTTTACTCTCCATCATTTCCTTTTCACCCATTCTAATCCCAAAACTTTCCTGAAGTCATAAAACCCACAACAGAAAAAAGTCCCTAAGAATGTAGACAGAGAAGGAACCTTTACATACATTCTGAATTTAAGGTGATTATCAACAGGGCTTTGAACTGTAATTCTCAGATCTCAGCCTCCTGAGTAGCTAGGATTACAGGCGTGAGCCACCAGCACCCGGCTGTAAGTTTAATGTTACCGTGAAACAAGTATAAACATGGACATCCTGATATTATCCACACCACTTATGTGCCATCTATTTGTAAGAAGGCAAGGAAGAGCATTTGTTTTTGAGGTCTTGTGTGTGTCAGTACAGGGATTTGGAACTTGATCCTCTGATCTCAGCCTCTTGAATAGCTAAGATTATAGGTGTGAGCCACAGGCAGGAAGATCATTTGTAATAGCAGGCATATCCCCTTTTGACTTTACATTAGACATCATTTTATATTAGTCATTGGTCAAGCCCAATTTGTCAAATGTGTAGCTGAATTTTTTGCCTGATCAAATCCTGGACTAAGGGATCAGGCACAAATGGGTGAGACATTAATAAAGCAGAAATGCAGCTGCAAATCAATTCAGTGCACAGCTCAAGATTACCCTGTTTTAGGTTCAACTGAGGAACCTAAAGCCTTGAACTCTTGCTAAGAATGACTTTTGAGGGCTAGGATGTAGCTCAGTGACAAAGTGATTTCCTCGCAAGTGTAAGGCCCTGAGTTCCATCCCTAGGACCCAAAGACAGGTTAAAAAAAAAAAAGTAAAGGTCTTAGAGCCAGGTACTAGTGGCCCACACCTGTAATCCTAGCTAGAGGCTGGGATCTGAAGATCACAGTTCAATGCCAGCCCAGGCAGAAAAATCCTGTCAGACTCATATCCACTAAACTATTCAGAAAAAGTTGGAAGTAGAACTGTGGCTCAAATGGTAGAGTGCTAGCCTTGAGAAAAAGCAGCTCAGGGACAGAACTGGGGCCCTGAGTTCAATCAAGCCCTAGGACTGGGGTAATAAACCTGGAGAGATTAATACTAATGATGACTGCATAAAACCATCTGCCTTAGGCTATGTCCAGGGACAAGCCCTGTTTTCTAGGAATATGCCCTGAAGAGAAGTAAGCTTATCTCAGAAATCCCAGAGGGATGGCCTTACCAGATTCCCCAAGACAGATCCCTAGAAACAGGAGATGAAGGCTGGGGATGTAGCTTAGTGGTAGAACGCTTACCATGTATGAAGCCCTGGGTTTGATTCCTCAGTAGCACATACACAGAAAAAGCCAAAAGTGGCGGTATGGCTCAGGACAGTGCCCAGGCCCTGAGTTCAAGCCCAGGATTGGCAAAAAATAAAAAAATAAAGAGAGAGAGAGAGAGATAAAGAGGACAACTAGAAACTACTCAAGTAAATTCCAGTATCACTGATCAGTATCACCTATCTTCCCCTTGAATAGCTTTAGGTCTGAAGAGGGAAGTTGTTTCTTACAAGAACCCCAAACAAAAGAAAAGCAAGGCCTGGCATCTTCCAGGTCTCAGGAAGATTCGCCGAAGGGACTTTTTTTTTTTTGGGGGGGGGGGTTGGTTATGGGGCATGAACTCAGGGCCTGGGCACTGCCTGAGCTCTTCAGCTCAAGGCGAGCACTCTACTGCTAGAGCCACAGCGCCACTTCTGAAGGGGCCTTCTCATTGGGATGGTCCCATGGAGCTGCATGTAGGGTTTCTCTCTTTAGGTCTTACTAGTCCTCTTCTGAGCCTATACATATCCACTAGGGTAAAGCCACAAGTGAGGGAAACCTGAGCGTCATGCAGACAAGAAGCCTTTCATACACAGCATGTGTGATAGTCCTTCAGCCACAAAAGCACTTGTGGGCTCATGAAAGGACAACAAAGAAGAGAACCCTGTACACACTCCTTTTATCAGAACAGCGATTACCAATCAACATTCCATGCATCACTGTCATCTGAAGACCCACCAAGAAGACTGAAGTGTTTCCTCACACCAGAAGCATCTTTAACTACTGTCCTCATGATATATATGTATAGCACATATCCATTGAGAATAATGCTATAATGAAATTTGCTTATTTTTACTACCACCCTACTCCACTAAAATGCAAGCTTAAAGTGGGAAGTTTTGTTCACTGAAGCATTTCAAATATCTGAATGGCTGATATTGAGAAATGATAAGTGGAAACTGATCACTAGAACACTGAGGTGTGATTACACTGGGAACAGAAGAACTACTGGTACAAAAAGACTTTCAGGTCTTCAGTGAAATGTCCCACGCTCTTAACTAACCATCACTAGGTCATAAAGCTTTAGAGAAGTAGTAGCTCAAGTATTAACTGAACAAAAATCACATGTCCCAATGAACTAGAGGGACTAGCATGCTACTGTTACTTTCTTGCATTATCTATAGAGCAATGTAAGCAACTAAAGAATTCATACAAAATTCTGACCTAAGTTCATAGCTTGGACTATTAGAACCTAACTGTTGGTGTGGTGGCACATGCCTGTCATCCTACTGAAAATGGAAAGCCCAAAACAAGTACTCACAGCCCAAGTATGCATTCACTCAGGAAATGACTCCCTATCTCAAAATTAACCAGCACACCCCACAGTATAATCTCTATTTTCACTGTATTTGATATTGGTGCCCTGCATCTTGTATATACATTTTTGTAATTTAGGGAGGGGAAGGGAAATAACAAACTGCTGAAACAAGGATATAGGATGACCCCATTGTAACAATGAGGTGTACAAGACATCATGTAGAAAACAAACTTCACAACTTGGGGGCGGGGGAGTTGAGGAGGGAAGGGATGGTAGGGGAAAGACAAAGGAGGAGGTAACAATGCTCAATAGGAAATGTACTCATTACCTTACTCATGTAAGGTAACCCTCTGTACATTATTTTTACAATAAAACATTAAAAAAATCACATTATGAACACACCCACACACCCAGCACATGGTTCAAATGGTAGTCTTGCCTAGTAAAAGGGATCTCAGTTCAAACCCAGTTTAAAAAAAAACAAACAAAAACCACCAAGGAAATAGTTCACTTGTCCATAGTTACCACAAAACAATGCAATTACTAGTTAGATCTGAAACCCAATGACTATTTTAATATCTAGAACTCCTAGTCAGAACATCTTCAAAAAATTTTAAAAAAGGGCACAAGGGGCTGGGAAGGTGGCTCAGTGGTAGAGCACTTGCCTTGCATGCCTGAGGCCATGGGTTCGATTCCACAGCACCACATAAGCAAAAAGAAATACGCCGGAAGTGGCACTGTGGCTCAAGTGGTAGAGCACTAGCCTTGAGCTGAAGAGCTGAGGCCCAGAGTCCAGGCCCCACGACCAGACCAAAAAAAAAAAGGGCACAAGCCTGAAAATATGCACCAGATGTTCTTGCCTTTAAAACAGCTTGTAATTATTTTGTAGGCACACAGAATCAACCTGTTTGTTAATAATGTCGTACCCCAGTATATATACCTGTAATCTCAGTACTTGGGAGGCTGAGAAAACCATTAGCTCAAGGCCAGCCTGAGCTACACATGATAAGGGAGATCCTATCTCAAAAAAAAAGCACACAAAACTACCAGACAATACAGCACCTACAATTTTGCTGACACTGTCAGGCTAATAAAGAGCATCATGACTAAGTATTTGAATAAAAATGTACTTTCAGCCAGAATAAAATTAGATATATTGAATCTATCTAGCTTTAACTTGTTAAATGACTACCTTGAAACTTAAAGTACCACTATCAACAGAAAACCTGACTTTCTGCCTTGATTTTAGCATTAACATCTATGTAAGCTAGAAAAGCTGCCTCCTTGCTGTTACCTTTTTCTGTACTGCCAAATGAAAAACTACACCTACCAAGGGCTTCAAACAGATCATTCAATGTCCACCATGTCCAGTCTAAGTACCCTTATAAAACCTGTCATGGGCTGGGAAGGTGGCTCAGTGGTAGAGCGCTTGCCTTGCATGCATGAGGCCTTGGGTTCGATTCCTCAGCACCACATAAGCAAAAAAGAAAAAAGCGGAAGTGGCACTGTGACTCAAGTGGTAGAGCGCTAGCCTTGAGCTGAAGAGCTGAGGGACAGTGCCCAGGCCCAGAGTTCAGGCCCCACGACCGGACCCCCCCCCCGCAAAAAAAACCCCTCTATCATTTTACAAACAAGGCAACCAAAGGACAATAGTTTTTTGACTTCATGGAGCCTGGTCTTTACTATGTTGATCATTTATAAAGGGTTAATTCTGAAATCTCTACATTGTGGCTTTAGAGGTAGATTACAGCACATAATTTCTTCAACTTTAGAATGAGTAGCAACAAGAATCCTTACATGTGTCCTTGCAGTACACAAAACTACATGTAGTATCTGTTTGGGTATGGCAGTCAGAAGGTAGGACTGAGTGTCAAGGCCAGAGTAGGCAGACTACAAAGCAAGAGACTACCTCAAAACAAACAAAAAAAAAAACACAACACTTTCACTGTTGTCTCATTTCTTTTCATCACCAGAAC